GTTGAGCTCCAAAGAGGCTTCAGTTGTTGGAATAAAATGCTCTGTGGAGAGTTTTTAATTTATATTCTGTTGACTCAGTCCTGCTTCCTCTAGTTATTCCATCACCATCTTCCCTTTCCTATTTTCAGGTTTTCTCAAAATTCTGTCTGTTTAAGGCACAGAATTTCCCTGTGTCTTTCCACCTTTGCTTTCTGTCAAGCCAACAAGCATGATATGTAAGTTGGCATTGTCATATGTCAGCATACTTAACGATTGGGCTGCTTATTGACACAGATGCAGTCCCAATTGCAGTCAGTAAGTGAGCACTAGGATATCACCACAGTGGTTGTGGAAAATATTTTCAGCCCTAACTTGGAGCTGAGGACTTCCATGGGCAAAACTGAACATGAAATCTTGCAGAGAGTTTAAGTATCATTTCATCAGGTAAAAACCCACAATCTCTACAATTAGCTCAGAAGTTTCAACTGAAACCATTTTGGGATAATTTTCAGGCTAAAACACATGGATTTTTCACGTACATACAGTTATAGCCATGTGTATTTGTATTTCTCTCTTTATGCATGTATTTACAACTGTAAATATAGGCATACAGAGAGAATTGTAAATATATGCATACAGAGAGAAATGCAAATACACGCGCCTATAATTGTATGTATGAGAAATACAAATACAATGTATCCCCAGCATTTCCACATATAGTTCATGATAAGCTTTTGCACTGCTAATAATTTTTGAATCACCAAAGTGAAAATAACTGAATGGATATTTGAAACTGGACACGAAGGTTTCAAATGAATCCTAACTAATATAAGAAATTATGGCATGTATGCTTATTTATTGTAATGTATATTTTTTCCTGTTTTTACATCTTCAATCATTTTATAAAGGATTAAAGTTACATTTTTCTTTGAATCTTATAGACAAAGAGGATGGCAATAGGAGCACTCTGGAAAACTGAGAATAACAAGCAACATTGGAAAAGAAAGCAAAGCCAGCCAGAAACCAAACTATTTTCCATTTCCTTCAGAAAACCACAAAATTCTTCTCCTTTCTCAACAGTTGAGAGACAAAGGAGCAAACTAAGAGGAGATTTCAAGCAAGAAAAAGTAGACTATGAGAAACTCAAGAATACGTTACATGATAGCTCAAGGGGGAGATTATATTTCATTCAGAAAAAGAGGGGTAACTCTGGAAGTCAGCAGGGAGTAAGGTCTATTGGCTAGGCAAATAGGGCAGACAGTGATGCAGGGCTGGCCCTGTGAGGAGGAAAACAGGTGGAATTAAAGCACCAGTAAACAAATGATCACACATATATTTGACCTCAAGAATATCAGTGTTGGAAAAGCCTCTGTTGTGCCTTTTGTGGGAAAAGTACAGATTGTAAATCACAACTGATTATGTATGAGAGGATCCCCATTGTAGAAAAGCCATAGCAATGCAAGAAATGGTTTAGTCTGAACAGCTTTCTTGGGGTTCATTGAAGGACACATATAGGACAGATGGCCTGCAAGTGCTTTCAATGTGGTAAATGCTTCAGCAAGCATAGCAGCATCAGAGGACTCACACCAGGGAGAAACCGGAAGTGCCTGGTTTGAGGGAAAAGTTTCATTCGAAATTCCCACTTCATGAGACACCTGAAGACTCACCCTGGGAAGAAATCCTTTGCATATCCTAACTGTGGAAAAAAATGCCACCTGAGGACACCAGAGAACTCACAGGAGACACACTGTATGAGTGTCCAGATTGTGGCAAAAGTTTCAGACTTCGGGCCCAATGACATACCAGAGGACTCATTCCCTGGACAAACTGTATGAATGTCTGGAGTGTGGGACATTTTAGTTATATTTGCAACCTGTTAAGTCACCAGAGGATTCAGATAGGAGAGAAACCCTATGAGTGTCTAGAGTGTGGGGAAGGTTTCAGTCAGAATTCTACCCTTGTGACACACCGTAGGACTCACATAGGAGAGAAACCGTATGGATGTCCTCAGAGTGGGAAAAGTTTCAGTCATATTTCCAGTCTGATAAAACACCAGAAGATTGACACAGGAGAAAAACCGTATGGATGTCCAGATTGTGGGGAAATTTTCAGATGGAATTCTAACCTGGTGACACATCAGACGACACATGGGAGAGAATCCGTATGAGTGTCCAGAGTGTGGGAAAAGTTTCAGTCAGACTTCCAGCCTGGTGATGTTGCAGCAATTCTTGCTTCCAAATCAGGACACAAGACCACGAAAGGTTGGAGAATACAGGCTTATTTGCACAAAAGGTTCAGAGCATTAGCATGGCAAATTCTGAACCCCCAGGTCTTCCTGCTACATGACTTTCACACGTATTGTGACCTCAATCTAAGCCAGGGCGTGCCTTCTGTTACATTTTACCAAAAAGGGAGAATATTGTACACATTTCTAAAGGGAAATATAGGAGAAGTACAATTTTATGATTACACAGTTATCTTACACCACCTCATACTTTCCATGTCCACCCTTGTTTACAGCAATGTGATTAAGTTCCTTAATTCAGCCATTACTTATTTTTTGCACAATATTAAGTTACACAAAGCTTTGGGGAATTGGGGACTTTTGCTAACATTTGCTAAATATGAGAGCCATTTTTCCAGCTGCCTCATTCCCCCCCTTGAAACTACACTCAAATGCATTCTTACTATGGAGTTTCACAAAAGGGGACAAGCTCTTTGTAAATACCCTCTTGTTCATATGCCCATAAAGCCGTAGCCTTGGCAGTTGCCTTCTTTTCTACTAACATAGAAAGACTATTAGAGATTGTTTTCACAAAAATAGGGAGGATACAGGATAGAATCACACATCCTGCAGTAATCATACCAACGAGTGCAACTATTGCTTGAAGTCCTGGTAATTTGGGAAACCAAGTCCCAAAAATATTTCCAAGGTCAAATCCGTTCCACTTCTGGACAGGTACATGTGCAAGATTTTCTATGCGTCTAGCGTGTTGTTCAATTATTTCCCCAATATCATCAAATTCTAGACAACAATTGGCGAAATTGAACTTACCACACACACCTCCTACAACTGCCAGGAGGTAATCCAATGCTAGACGATTTTGATATATGGCGTCCCTAAATTTCCTCTGCTGAACAGCTAGAGTGCGCAAAGACTGAGCTGTTTCATTGGCAATTAGTTCCACAACCGCTTGAAGCCTAATGATATGATTTAGCATGTAAATTGGGGTACGGTACCCCCAAGTGCCATCAGTTGCCTAGTTAGCCAGGCCAAAATAATGAATAATTCATTCTGGGGGCCACTCAACATCTTGCCAATCCCCTATTTTGTAATCTGCTTTAAGCTTTCTGCTCTGCTATTGATCAGCATTCATTATTTGAGGTATGTTCAAGGGTAACATGAAGGACTCATACGCAGAAAACGTATGAGTGTCCAGAGCGTGGGAAAAGATTCAGTAATAATGCCAGCCTGGTGACACACCAGAGGATTCACACAGGAGAAAAACGGAATGAATGTCCAAAGTGGGAAAAGTTTCAGTCAGAATTCCCACCTGGTGACACACTGGAGGACTCACTGCCTTGATAAAGGCTAACTACCTGTTTCTGGTGATCAGGAGAACTTTCTGGATATTTCATTTTGCAGAAGCGTAGAATTCTTCAAAAAGGTTTTGGGTGGTTTTTAAAGATTTATTATGGAATTTCTATCTTGTACCTTGGTATCCTCCAGATTTTGAATACCAGAATATCCCAACTACCATTCAAGTAGTCCTCGAGATATAAGGGTAATGGGGCCTATCAGTTATGGTTTTATGTTGCAATCACCATTAAATGGGGCTGCTTTGCTTAACTACCCCCACCCCCTTCTCTCCCTGATAAACCTGTTAAATGAATGTGTGAGTTTTTAAGCAGGATACTGGCTGCCTCAGGATTCTAGGCATAGCCCAAGCCCAGGCTTGCATTCCAAAGGCCGCCTCTACCTCAACCCTCTGATCACCTGAGTCCTTTCCCTTTTCCACAGGGTCCCCACTGTCTTCTTCCTCCTCCACGCCTGCAAGATCCCCACAGGCTTTTCCCCACTCCCACTGGGTTCCTGCAATCCTTAGACCTGACTCCCACCCCAGAAGGCCTCACAGCCTCCTCTTCCTTACTTTTTGAAGGTCACTGAACCTAATTTTGGGGAAAGAGGACAGGACATGCATCCCTGGCATGACTATTGTGGAAGCAGCCATCATTTTCAGTGCCTGGAATTCATTACGGTGACAGCAGGGATCAAACGTGCCATCGGTCCTGAGTCCCTTCATGCCTACAAGACATTTAAGTCCAGCCCACCTTGAATTTCTTTGACTCCTTATCTATTTCCAAATTGCTTTGATCATTGTTCAGATTCTTGCAGAGATCTTTAGCTTGCAATAAATCTTTATACCCATTTGAACAGCCTGGATCTTCTGATTTCCCTGGTGCTTGACAGGGAGGTCACTTTCTCTGCCCCCTCCCCCAGCTCCCTATTCCCCCCAGCAGGCCTGGGAGCAAGCAGCCAAATTGGTGGGGTGGTAAGGCTGAACTGGGCTGGATATTCCTTGCAGATCAGCTGATCAGAGGGTCCCAAGCAGGAGGGACTGAGCCCCAAAGGAATTGCAGGCAACCCATAATCTCTCCATGGATACCTTGGAGAGATTAGTCACTAGAGGAGGAATCTGCAACCTTGGACCCATTTCCCACAGAAAAAAAAAACACCAGGAGCCACAAAATGTGGGCCTGTGTGGTCAATTCAACATCACTCCATCCAGCCACATGACCTCCACAACCACACTTACCCAGGTTTTGTGGCTCCCAGTATTTTCTTTTAAACAGATATCTCTTTCCCTCATCTCTTTTTCTCTCTCCTCTCTCTTTCTCTCCCTCTTTCTTGTCTCTCTCATTTCTTTCTAATCTCTTTCTCCCTCCCTCCCTCTCATCTCTTTCTTCCTCTCTGATCTGTCTCTAACCTCTTTCGCAAAACTCTCCTCTCCCTCTCATCTCTTTCATCTCCCTTTCATCTCTATCTCTCTCCCTGCCCCTCTCTCTTGTGTGTGTATATGTGTCCTCTTCAACCCTTTCCAAAAACTGAGGGTTGGGAGGCTTTTTTTGCTGATGTTGTTCTACTTTGGGTGCTTTTTACCATATTTAAATCAAGCATCATTTCAGGTTCCCAGATAAATGAAGTTCTTCCTGCTGGCCCCACCCCTCACCCTCCCCTCCCACTCATTCCTCGCCTGCTCTGAGAAGGGGAATGGTGGCTGATGGAGACTCGCTCCGTACTCCAGTGTGGAATCGAAGCTTTTTCCTCCCTTTTTCTCTCATTTCTCTCTCCTTGTCACTCCATCTTTTCTCTCTGTCATTTGTTTTCTTTCCCTCTCTCATTCTCTCCCTCAATCATTTTCTCATCTCTTTTTCTCCCTTATGTCTCTCTTTCTCTCCCTCTTATTTTTCTTCTTCTCCTTCTCCCACTTTTTTTCCTTCTTTCTTATCTCTCCCACTTCTCTCATTTGTTTCCCTCTCTCTCCTCCTCCTGCTGCCACCACTGCATGCTCAGGTGAGTAGTGGCAATGCTGAGCAAGAGAGCCGGAGCTCTTCCCTCCCAGAATCCAGCAGTTGGGGCTGCCCCTACCCATTCCCCTTTTTTCTGAGCTGACACAAAAGGAACGGCTGGTACTGAGCTGCCCGCTAAGGACACAGAATCGGAAAAAGCTGGTCATGGGCTGTGCAGAGAAAATGGTGTTAGGAATATAAGTCACCTAACAGTTATTTGGGTTGGAAATATATAAACTAGGATAGACATTTTAACACTGTATCTTTAAGAGAATGCTAAAACTGTAACTGGGTGTGGTTTCTCAAACGGCCATAAGATGGAGCCAGAAACCTGGATTGTTTTAGTCTCAGTGAGTCTGTTTCCTTCTGTTGGAGAGTATTGCCGTTCCTTCTAATGACTGTTACTGATCGTTGATGTAAGTCTGTTACTGAACTGTTTTTTGATACTGGACTTTGATATTTGGATTATCTCTGAACTGAACACTGACTGCTTTACCTATGAATGACTTGGACTGCTTATCTTGGACTGTGCTTAAACATTTATTGGAAGTAAAAAACCTACATTTACTGTACAGTGTATCTGTGTGCTGTGTGTGTGTTATTCTTCACTCCTCTCACTATGTCTCCCTGTATGCGCTCCTTCTCCTAATGGGGAATTACCTCAACACTGGTTATGGGCCCGGGCCATACCAGGCTCAGATAACTTAGAGGTGGCGTGAATGCACACTACTGAATACAGACAACTATTTACTGTTTGTGGTTTACTATCCTGGTAAAGATGGCACAAGACACTTCAACAAGTCTATCACTGATAACCTGGTTGGATGGAACAAACTATGTTTCCTGGTCTATGAAGTGCAGTCTACTTCTGCGTAGAGAAGGGTTATGGACTATAGTTCAAGACCCATCGGATATAAATGCTTGGGATCCACTTAATGAGGACTTTAAACAGAACAACGAACGAGCTCTTTGTATAATTGGACTAACACTGAGTGACCAGCAGCTAGACCATATTCGTGGAGAAGAGTCTGCTGCTAGGTGTTGGGAGCATTTGAAGAGGATTTATGTTCGTGACAGTATAGGTACACACATACAACTTACACATAAACTGTTTAGAGCATGTCTACTGAAAGGTGGAGATATGTTAGCTCATTTGAACTTCATGAAAAGAAGTTCAAGAGCTACATGAAAAGGAACTGATATTTTCAGAGCTGCATCAATTTTACACCATTCTTTCCTCATTCAATGAAAGTTATGATGATAACGTATCTTCACTAGAAGTCCTGACCAAAGATGAATTGACATTGACTGACATAACCGGAAGGTTGTTAGAAGAAGTAAGAAGATGGCTGGATAGGGACCAACTGAGGAAGGAACAACCACAAGAAAAGGATTTATGTTCAACTGCCTATACTGTTAGGAAATGTTTTTCTTGTGGGGCTAGGGGACATATAGCTAAATTCTGTAAGAAGGGAAAACAACAGAATACTGGTAATCACCAGAAGGCCAAAAAGAATGTTAGTTTAGCTATGTCTAGAAATTCAACTGTAAACCATGATTTGTGGGTTGTTGATAGTGGAGCATCGCAATGCATTACTAAAGATAGAAAGAGGTTTGTAAAGATGTCTAAGAGTAAACCAAAATGTATCTTTGGCAAATGGATAGAAGATGAAGGCTTCTGGCAAAGGTACTGCATATTGTCCTTGTATAAACGAACATTTAACTATGTTATATGAACCTAAACTGAAATTTAATTTGTTATCAGTAAGGGCTTTAGTTAATCTTGGTTATGTAGTAAACTTTAGGGGAGATAACTGTATAATAAAGAGGGTAAAAGTGTTACTGCTACATTAGAGAATGATTTATATGTGATATATGATGACCAGTTGCAGGTGGTTAAGTCAGTTTATAGCAATGTTAAGCCACATGATGAATGTATACATTTACTGCATAGACATCTAGGGCACATTAATTTCAAAATGCTCAAACTGTCAAATTGTCAGAGGGAGTAAAATTAAACCCTGTAGCAAGTATTTAAACTGTAATGCTTATAGTCAGGAAAAAAGTAAGGTTACCCCTGCAAACAGACTAAATGGGTTTTAGACCAAAGAACCTTTAGAGGTTGTGTTAGCAGACATAATTGGTCCTAAGAAACCTAGTTTAGGAGATGCCTGCTATATTTTGAGTATTATGGACCATTACTCACGATACAGTTTCTGCTATATTATGAAAAACAAAACAGAAACATTCCAACATTTCTTTAACTAGCTAAGGTTTGCTGAGAGAAAAATGAGGAGTAATTACTTTAGTAACTGATAATGGGACTGAGTTTGTTAACAAAAGATTCCAAACTATGTTGAAATTGGCTGGTGTTGAGGATAAATGTTCTGCACCTTACAGACCACAACATAACTCGTTTTGTAGAATGAAGAGGGCAA